CATCGACCTCAGTCTCGTCAAACGACTTCACTACATGGACATGGCATAGAACAGAAGTTATAGGGATAACGGTACATGCGTCGGGGATGAAAGAACATTGGCGCACGCAGCCCGTCTTTGCATGCACGCCTGCGGTCCTATAGAACTTCACGTACGCAAGATCATGACGCTCTCCTCCCTGAGTGCAATGGAACAATAGCAGCAACTTTGCATAGGCCACACTCTCCCCCTCGCACCAAACAGCAATATCTGAAAACCAGGGTCTTTTGTGGCACTCAGGGGTTGCTCTCACGAAATGTGCCACCCGCGATGCGTGCGTTTCAGTTGTTGCTGGAATCGCCATTGTTGTATGGGTCTGCCAAAACGGTGAATGAAATCAAGTTAATATGAATACATCTTGTATTAGTTGATTGACGCAAATATGGCCACAAGTGTTATATCATGGCAAAAACCATACCTGAATGGTTTGCACGGTAATGCCATATGCCGCCAAAGCGTGCGACAACGCTCTGTGTGCACTCGGGTGCTGCTGCGACCACCGAGACGCAAAGAACTTAGCAGAGGTGGGGTCACTTGCTGGCAAAACAGCAAGTGGCTCGGATTCCCTCGTCAAGACTGCTCGTCCGGTGTCCATCGCCTACGGGTGGGGTTAGAAGGGGGAAGAGGGGGAGAAGCAGGGGGGGCAGGGGGACGGAGCAAGGGGGGCAGGGGTGGCGGAGGGAGGGGCGTCACATAAAACTTGCAAATGTAAGTAACCCAGTCTAGCGCTTCTAAAGAGTTGAGTTACCTGCTGCATGATGGTGTAGCGAGCCCCGTCCTCGTCCTCCAGTGTGATAAAAGCAGCACTCTTCTCGTGATGTTTCATGATTTGCGCTTCGACGTTGCGCTTGTTCGAGCGGCGGTAAATTCTCTTCAAGAGGGGGCCGTGCAAGTGCTCCCACATGTTTGTCGAGAATTCTGACACATGACCCGCCCTCCGGATAGCGTGAACGTAATGCGACAGGAGATGAGTCTTGATGATGCACCACTCAGATTTTTGAGTGGGAAACGCCACTTGCAACTTCGCCACGAGACTGTCCAGAGCCAGGGTGCGGGAAAAATGGGGTGTATGATGGGACCGCCCGGGAGATAATGGGCTGGATTAGGGATAGTAGCTTGGAATTGAATTGAGCAGAGGTTTGCCCCATGCATTCCTCTGCCCCTCCCTCTCTCTGCTCTGCCTCTACCCACCAGTGGCAGGTAACGGACTACGTTGATAGTATGGGTCGGGGGGTGAGGTTTGGAGAGCAGAAAGGAGACTCCAGCATTGCCTCTGCCCTCTCTCTCTCCCATCTCGGTTCAGCCACTCCTGTCAGTGGCATGGAAAGAAGGGCCAGAGAAGGGGCTGGAATGAGGGTATGGGTGGGGGGGTTGAGGCTTGGAGAGCAGGACAGAGACTCGAGCATGCCTCTGCCCTCTCTCTCTCCCATCTCGGTTCAGCCACTCCTATCAGTGGCAGGGAAAGAAAGGCAAGAGAAGGGGCTGAAATGAGGGTATGGATGGGTGGTTGAGGCTTGGAGCGCAAAACAGAGACTTGAGCATGCCTCTGCCCTCTCTCCCATCTTGTTTCAGTCGCTCCTGTCAGTGGCAGGGAAAGAAAGGCCACAGAAGGGGCTGAAATGTGGGTATGGGTGGGTGGTTGAGCCTTGGAGCGCAAAACAGAGACTTGAGCATGCCTCTGCCCTCTCTCCCATCTCGTTTCAGTCGCTCCAGTCAGTGGCAGGGAAAGAAAGGCCAGAGAAGGGGCTGAAATGTGGGTATGGGTGGGTGGTTGAGGCTTGGAGCGCAAAACAGAGACTTGAGCATGCCTCTGCCATCTCTCCCATCTCGTTTCAGTCGCTCCTGTCAGTGGCAGGGAAAGAAAGGCCAGAGAAGGGGCTGAAATGTGGGTATGGGTGGGTGGTTGAGGCTTGGAGCGCAAAACAGAGACTTGAGCATGCCTCTGCCCTCTCTCCCATCTCGTTTCAGTCGCTCCAGTCAGTGGCAGGGAAAGAAAGTCCAGAGAAGGGGCTGAAATGTGGGTATGGGTGGGTGGCTGAGGCTTGGAGCGCAAAACAGAGACTTGAGCATGCCTCTGCCCTCTCTCCCATCTCGTTTCAGTCGCTCCTGTCAGTGGCAGGGAAAGAAAGTCCAGAGAAGGGGCTGAAATGAGGGGATGCATGGAGGATGAGGCTTGGGGAGAAAAACAGAGACTCGAGCATGCCTCTGCCCTCTCTCCCATCTCGGTTCAGACCTCCTGCCAGTAACAGGGAAAGAAAGGCCAGAGAAGGGGCTGAAATGTGGGTATGGGTGGGTGGTTGAGGCTTGGAGCGCAAAACAGAGACTCGAGCATGCCTCTGCCCTCTCTCCCATCTCGGTTCAGTCGCTCCTGTCAGTGGCAGGGAAAGAAAGGCCAGAGAAGGGGCTGAAATGAGGGTATGGGTGGGTGGTCGAGGCTTGGAGCGCAAAACACAGATTCGAGCATGCCTCTGCTCTCTCTCCCATCTCGATCTAGTCACTCCTGTCAGTAACAGGGATAGAAAGGCCAGAGAAGGGGCTGAAATGAGGGTATGGGTGGGTGGTCGAGGCTTGGAGCGCAAAACACAGACTCGAGCATGCCTCTGCTCTCTCTCCCATCTCGGTTTAGTCACTCCTGTCAGTAACAGGGATAGAAAGGCCAGAGAACGGGCTGAAATGAGGGTATGGGTGGGTGGTTGAGGCATGGAGCGCAAAACAGAGGCTCGAGCATGCCTCTGCCCCCTCTCCTGTCTCGGTTCAGTGACAGGGCAAGAACGGCTAAAAGAATGGGCTGACACGAGGGTGCAGGTGGGGGGGTGAGGCTTGGAGAGCTCAACAAAGAGTCGTGTAAACGAAAGAAAACCCTATCCGGCCCCATCCAAAACAGAGATATGGTATTAAGGTAATAAGATATGCATAAGTGGGAGAAGTTGAGGGCTCACTCGTCGGTCAATTCCTGCAAATGCCGAAGCGTGCCCTCCGTGTGACCTGGGAGCCGGGCGCAGTAAAGATACCACTCGAGGTATGCTCGAATGGCGCTCAACTGCGCATCCCCGAGCTTGTCCGCGACCACAAAAATCAACACTTGTGAATTTGGGGATGAAAAAAGCGGTATGAAAATTCTGACTTGAGAAGTCGCTATGACGGATTCATGGAGAGAAAGAGAACAGTAGGGTGTGGGCTGCCTCAGAAAGAGGGGCAGAGGGGGGGGAGGGGAGTGGTGGGTGTGGGACAGAGGGTAAGGGAGGATAGAGTGCTGCTCGTGCCAAGCAATGCCTCATTTACGTTTGTCACTAACCTGCAGAACAGATCGGTGCTCGAATGCGGCAACCTGGGCGTCGGACACGAAGTACGTCGAATTAGGGAGCCGCATATGTGTCATGCGGATGTCTTCTCTCAGTGATTTCAAACGCCTGAGCATGGTAGAAGTAGGGATGACATACACTCCATTCATGAATTGAACGATGCTTTGCACAAGAAACCACGAATTCGCAACACAAGAGAGAGGAGATAGCAATGCCAACCTACATGAGACAGAACATAACCCGCCCAAACTTACGCATCAAACAAGGGAAGCCACTTCCCCTGAGTGCAACGGATGGCGGTGACAATGTGCCCGAGGATCCCGAGATCCGCTTGATGCATGATGTCCGGCATGATGACGCGGTACGGATTTCCCCACGGTTTGTCAAAAACGTCCCATAGCCACAGGGAACACTGCATGCATAAAAGGGTTAGGGTGACTCTTATGAGGTGAAACCATTATACCAATGAAGCAATGTAGTATTGGAGGCTAATGGCAGTGAGGTTGAGGAGTGCGTAAAAGTGCAGAGATGTGGGGGGGTGCTTTGAAGGGCAGAGATGTGGGGGGGTGCTTGGAAGGGCAGAGATGTGGGGGAGTGCTTGGAAGGGCAGAGATGTGGGATAGTGCGTGGAAGGGCAGAGATGTGGGGGCTGCCATTACAAGTGCTCACACTTACGTCGACGTCGAACGTCGAGTACTCCATCCCAATCGTTTTTTTGTCATCGAAGGGTTTGTACCAGTTTTCCTTGATCCACTGCTGTTGCACAACAGTGCGGTTAACGTTTGGAGCTGATACGGCGCACAAGTGGTCCTGCATGTAGAATCGGATACCCACCCGTATATACATGCAATACAAGTATGAGTTGAATGTGTGCGGTCATAATTAGGCGTTTAGAGCAGAGAAGGACAACTCAACGACAATGTCACATACCCTGTGGGCATAGCATATGCTGCACGGCCGGTTGGTAGTGCCCGAAAGAGTGCACGTAATTTTGCAACTTTCTGGAAAGTCACACACCCATGCGTACAGCATGGGTATGACGAGATGCTCGACGCCATTCGGGTCCTTCATCTTGAAACCACTGCAATGCGTTGGAAAAAAGACATGATTGGTTTTGGGGGACGAGGCTTGGTAGAACGACTCATATAGAGGGGTGGTTATACTTCTATACGGAAACGCTTCCCTTTGAGATGGCACTGATAAAATGTCACATGCGCAGATTGCGGTGGAAGCGCGCATGAGAACTGGACATCAAAGCAAAGTTAATATAGGCCAAGTGTGATTAAAACCTTTTCAACCCCTCGAGGATGGGCTGCAGCATGAGCTCCACGGCTTTGTGAAATAATTCGGTGCTCTGAACCGAGCTCATGCCGGCCGGTGGTATCGGGAGATTCCCCAAAAGCACGTGGCCAGAAGAGGCCCAACGTTTCCCCTGGGAGATGTTGACGAGACTCATCATCACCGGATGTGCCTTTTTCCTGCCGTTGTTGCTGAGGTGTGTGACGTCACTATACAGGATAATCCCAGCGATGACTACGTCTGGCCCAACATGGGCCTGAGGATCAAGGTAAACAATACCACAGACAGGGACATAGCATAACATAATACGGATGGGGTATGTGAACAAGATTAGAGCATACGGGAGCATGAGTGTGCATCTCACTCCACTCCCCTTCTCTGTCCGCCCAGGGTTCCTGTGTGTGGGTGGGAGGGACAGGCAGAGGGAGGCAAGGATAAGGGGCAGAGAGAGAAAATGAGGCAACAAGGTGCATGCTTGAGCTCCTCAGAACCCTCCGCTCCTCTGTCCGCCCTCCTCTGTCCCTCTCCTGTGTGTGGGTGGGAGGGACAGGCAGAGGGAGGCAAGGATAAGGGGCAGAGAGAGAAAATGAGGCAACAAGGTGCATGCTTGAGCTCCTCACTCCCCTCCGCTTCTCTGTCCGGCCTCCTCTGTCCCTCTCCTGTGTGTGGGTGGGAGGGACAGGCAGAGGGAGGCAAGGATAAGGGGCAGAGAGAGAAAATGAGGCAACAAGGTGCATGCTTGAGCTCCTCAGAACCCTCCGCTCCTCTGTCCGCCCTCCTCTGTCCCTCTCCTGTGTGTGGGTGGGAGGGACAGGCAGAGGGAGGCAAGGATAAGGGGCAGAGAGAGAAAATGAGGCAACAAGGTGCATGCTTGAGCTCCTCACTCCCCTCCGCTTCTCTGTCCGGCCTCCTCTGTCCCTCTCCTGTGTGTGGGTGGGAGGGACAGGCAGAGGGAGGCAAGGATAAGGGGCAGAGAGAGAAAATGTGGCAACAAGGTGCATGCTTGAGCTCCTCACTCCCCTCCGCTCCTCTGTCCGCCCTCCTCTGTCCCTCTCCTGTGTGTGGGTGGGAGGGACAGGCAGAGGGAGGCAAGGATAAGGGGCAGAGAGAGAAAATGAGGCCACAAGGTGCATGCTTGAGCTCCTCACTCCCCTCCGCTCCTCTGTCCGCCCTCCTCTGTCCGTCTCCTGTGTGTGGGTGGGAGGGACAGGCAGAGGGAGGCAAGGATAAGGGGCAGAGAGGGAAAATGAGGCCACAAGGTGCATGCTTGAGCTCCTCACTCCCCTCCGCTCCTCTGTCCGCCCTCCTCTGTCCCTCTCCTGTGTGTGGGTGGGAGGGACAGGCAGAGGGAGGCAAGGATAAGGGGCAGAGAGAGAAAATGAGGCCACAAGGTGCATGCTTGAGCTCCTCACTCCCCTCCGCTCCTCTGTCTGCCCTCCTCTGTCCGTCTCCTGTGTGTGGGTGGGAGGGACAGGCAGAGGGAGGCAAGGATAAGGGGCAGAGAGAGAAAATGAGGCAACAAGGTGCATGCTTGAGCTCCTCACTCCCCTCCGCTCCTCTGTCCGCCCTCCTCTGTCCCTCTCCTGTGTGTGGGTGGGAGGGACAGGCATAGGGAGGCAAGGATAAGGGGCAGAGAGAGAAAATGAGGCAACCAGGTGCATGCTTGAGCTCCTCACAACCCTCCTCTCCCATCTCCGCACGCCTCTAACCATCTCATGGCAGTGTGTGAGAGCGCCGGGCAGTGCGAGTCAGTGAACTGTTGGAATATGTTTAGTGCAGCGAAGATAGCATTTAAAGACGTGGCAAAAAGAAGCATTTGTAATACTCATTCTCCCTCTCACCTGGGCCTCATGCCACCAGGTCGCTGTCTCCGGTGTGGTGTAGCGTCTCTGACGGGTCTTCGGTTCAGTGTCTACCCGTGGCTTCAGAACGAACCCAGGCGCATTCCGCGGATCGCCAAACAGGTCGGCCAGAGCCTGGACGACACAATAACGACGCGATTATGATGAGCTAAAAATAATACGTGCAGCGAAATAAAGGTCTTATCAACAAACTGCATAGGAAATAACTCACACAGCACGTACCTGTAACGAGTTACGGAAGAACAGCGTCTGCGCCGGGAAGCCCGCAACCTTGAATGTTACAGTCGAGTACCCACGACCTAGACCACGCAGTTGGTCCAACTCAAAGCGCTCGAGCTCTCGGCAGTTGGTGTACTCCTCGAGCACTCTCTGTGCAAGTTCCGGAACCATTAGAAGTTGCAGCAGTGCGTTGATGTCCGTCTCTGCCAAACCAAGCCGTCCGTTGGCTTTCCGCACAAAGTGCAGAAAATGAAGCGCAGCGGGATTGCTCGGTGGTAGACGCCCGAAGCTTGTTGGTACGGAGGGAGCAGCGGTATTTCTGCCGCTGTTGTTACTCTGAGGCGAATTCGCTGTGTCCGCGTCGGTGACTGCCTCGGGCATTTCATTTCGGGGTGTAGAATATGAGGAATTGCTGCCGGAATGCTCACCGTCTTCCTGTGACTGTACGTTGTCGCCATGTACGTGATGGGCCTGAACTCTCAGAATCCCAGCCACTAGACCACTGGGATAAAAGGGCTTGTTAAGTAGCGGGTCAGAGTGCGCCCATAACCCCCCAGGCAAACGCGCCTGTAACCCCCCGTAGGATCAATCGGGCGTCCACAGTGCAGATCTACTGACACCCCCCCACACTGGGAGGCCCAGGACTGAGCACAGCGGCAACGGCCTATATGTGCATATACACCGGGATTCGAACCCGAGACCACTCTGACACCATGTCAGAATCCCAGTCACTAACCACTGGGATAGAAGGGCTTGTTTCAGTAGCGGGTCAGTGCGCCCATAACCCCCCAGGCAAACGTGCCTGTAACCCTTCCCTAGGATCGATCGGGGATCACCAGTGGACCTCTGACACCCCCCCGCACTGGGATGCCCGAAGTGCATACACCGGGATTCGAACCCGAGACCTTCGCTCTGATACCATCTCAGAATCCCAGCCACTAGACCACTGGGATAAAAGGGCTTGTTAAGTAGCGGGTCAGAGTGCGCCCATAACCCCCCAGGCAAACGCGCCTGTAACCCCCCGTAGGATCAATCGGGCGTCCACAGTGCAGATCTACTGACATGAACATGGGCCGTATTCTCAGCATCGGGAACAGGTGTTGTGAATAGGACAATGTGCTCTTGTAGTGAAGGTCCACCGTGACGCAGTGCTGCATATTTGACACGGCATAGAGGGTCCCATGCCTTGTGCCGCCCGAAACACTGGGCACTTCGAAATCTCCCCTTGCAAAAGACGCACAGTAACTGTTTGTTGATGTTCATGCTATGACCAGCTGTAATATGAACAGTCACGAGAGTGGCCGCATTGTACAAGTGCTCTTTAGTAGCGGCTAGGCCTGAGAGGTCGACCTGCGAAGGGCGTGAAAGGTGACTCCCTATAGGGGTATCGCGGCATCGACCAGAGGACCGGGTCCCTATGAGACACACCTCGAAGTAAGTTCTACATGTTGATGCTACACAGAGGACTGTGACTAAACTTAGACATACGAGTGTTGAGTGGGAAGTATAACTACTCCGCATTCTGTCTAGCCTATGGCCCTGCGTATGATCATAATTTACTCGCCGCGCACCGCGCCGTGATGTAGCGGTGAATTGGCGCGCAGCGCGGCCCCGCCGCGAGCCAAGGTGCTACCTACACTCGCAATACGTGCTGCACGAGGCGTTCTAACGTGGTGGGTAATGGCAGGCACAGTATTGAGCCGCGTGCGGCTGCTGTGACGGATGGGCTCATGGAAGGACAGCGGGAAGGGGACGATGTTCCATACCACCCTTAGAGCTTAGAGAATGGCGGACCTTGCGCTTGTCTATCCCCCCAGAGGTTCTGGTGAGAATTCCTCCGCAGTCTAGAGAAAACCGAGCAAAAGTTAGAAGAAGCTAATTCGCCAAATGAGACTGTCAGGCTCAAGCCTCACCCTAAAGCAAGAGACTTGTGCGTGATTATCACGTCAGGCAGCGGAAGGCGCACTTTGCTGTGATTGTAAGGCGAAGCGACTCGGGAAGGATCACCGCACGGAGTAAGCGTGCTCTGGCCGACTCTGTTTGCTGTGTGGTGCGGCTATTTGAATTCTGAATTCGAAGTTTGAAATGACGGGAGGGGATGTGTGCACTGCCCACACGAGCAACTCACGGTTCCCGATGTTGGCGAAATTGTTATACTGTTGCTGACACAATCATTTAACAATCAAATCTAAAATATCAGAATCAAAAAGCAAGGGCCCTAGGAATCATAGCATAATCTCTAGGAAACTGGTGTCGAGAAACAACCCAATCACTTGCAGAGCTTTCTGACGAGGTTCGGTTTGTGGCGAGGATTGAAATCCAAGACCCGCCAACTCTGCATCAGATTCAAGCTACTCTCACATAGCACGGCATGATAAACATATCTAGCCTTCATGGACAGAGCTGAGAATGATAAGGGGGGTCTCAAAATGGTGTCAAGAAACTACCATACCACTTGCTGAGCTTTCTGACAAGGTTTGGTTGGTGGCGAGGACTGAAATCCAATACCCGGCAAATCTGCATTGACATTGGGCTTCCCTTACATTGTTGGGAACAATAAATCCTAAAGCGCCTCTGTCGTGTCAAAACCCAAGACACTAGCGAAGCAGTCCGAATCGAAGCATCGAGTCAAACCTCGGAGGTTAGGGTATCGCGGGGAGGTTATGGGAAAGTCAAAGGTCAGCGACCTTTGACTCGACAATTACAGCGCGACAGCAAGGACACACATCTGACTCGACATTGAGCAGTTGCCCGAGTCGCACTGTATCGAATCGCAACAGTATGATGGAGGGCGCGCAGATACGCAGATACCGGGAGGTTTCTGGTACTCCCACACTATCCCTGAAGCAGAACGAACACGAGCGTTAGCAACGATTCAACAAACACCAGAAGCAGAGACAACATCGGCAGCAGCAACAACATCGGCAGCAGCAACAACATCGGCAGCAGCAGAGACAACATCAGCAGCAGCAGGAACAACGACACCAGTCACAGTCGACGAAGCACCACCAACACCCGCGCAACAGCTGAATCCGACTCAACGTGAAGTCCACCGAAGCGCCAACTTCGTCGCCAGTTTTTACTCCAACTCCGACGTATACCAACGTTCACCCGGACACCGCGCCTCTGAAGAAATCTGGCACGCACGCATAGGACATCCAAGCAACACGGTCTTAAATAACACGATAAGAGCAGGAGTTCTTGACAAAGACTCCCTACTACTACCCGACGGCAAAGAACTCCAAAAGGCACGAGGGACTTGCCTTATATGTCCCGAAGCTGACTTACCTCATCGACCGATCGCTCCACACCACAACCCGAGCGCACCCGCGTACGCACCACTCGAAAAGGTTTACAGCGACATCCTCTACAACCGCGAACCAGGACAAGTCACCTACAACTACACCATCACCTTCATCGACGCCTCCACTCGATACGTCTGGCATCGCAACCTACCTAGCCGCGACATGGCACTCGCAACATTCGCCTCTGTCGTGTCAAAACCCAAGACACTAGCGAAGCAGTCCGAATCGAAGCATCGAGTCAAACCTCGGAGGTTAGGGTAACCGCCTGGAGGTTACGGGAAAGTCAAAGGTCAGCGACCTTTGACTCGACAATTACAGCGCGACAGCATGGACACACAACTGACTCGACATTGAGCAGTTGCCCGAGTCGCACTGTATCGAATCGCAACAGTAAAACGGTTTGAATCTATCTATTGGTATTCCTTGTACTCTTATATAAACCTTGTATTTGCTTGTTTTTAATTAATCTACTTTGCTCTCACACACTAGTGCAAGGTCGGTTCACAAGCTTCATTAAAAGCTTCCGCTATTACAAATATCCTACCCAGAGTTATCCTCTGCAAAGATCCTCAAGGGCTTTCTCAGCCCAACATACATATCATAGCATGATGAACCTATTTAGCCTTCTTGGTGTCAAGAGACTAACCTAACACTTGCTGAGCTTTCTGACAAGGTTTGGTTGGTGGCGAGGACTGAAATCCAATACCCGGCAACTCTGCATCGGATTTGGGCTTCCCTTACATATCATGGCATGATGAACCTATCTAGCCTTCATGGACTGGGCTGAGAATGATAGGGGGGTCTCAAACTGGTGTGAAGAGACTACCCTATCACTTGCTGAGCTTTCTGACAAGGTTTAGTTGGTGGCGAGGACTGAAATCCAATACCCGGCAACTCTGCATCAGATTTGGGCTTCCCTTACATATCATGGCATGATGTGTCAGATTACTATAGCTGATGCATGTTTGTAGGCTATAGTGGGGTAGCACATATGGGGTACAGCTTTCTAGGGTTGTATTTGTACCCAACCCTGACTTAGTCATTTCATTCCTGTTCGCTTATTCTCACATGGTATAGAGCGGGTCCTTCTACGGACCGTTTTTTTTTGGGCCCACCGAAGCGCCCCCCGAGGCGCGATTTTTTTTAGCGACCCCTCGGGTCGTCATTTTCCCTGCGGCCCCGCCGCGTTCACTGACGCGGCCCCGCCGCCCTCTCTGACGGGGCCCCCACCGCCGCCTGCTCTCGCGCGGCCCCGCCCCGGCTTCTACGCGGCCCCGCCCCGGCTTTCACGCGGCCCCGCCGACGGCTTTGTCGCGGCCCCGCCCAGGCCCTTATGCGGCCCCGCCGCCTGCTCTCACGCGGCCCCGCCCCGGCTCCTTAACGGCCCCGCCGCCTGCTCTCGCGCGGCCCCGCCCCGGCTTCTACGCGGC